TAAAAATTACCTGAATCGTTCCTAAAATTTGTACAATTCATTGTTTTTTGTGTTTTCTCTGCTCCATTGTGAATAAAATCTGGATTTGTGAATTTTGTAAATCTCTGCATTCTGTTTTTATTTATTTGGAGCACAATTAAAATAAATCACACCAGCGTGTTCTCGTCCACTTGCTGAACGCAGGATCACTGGAGTGAGTCTGAAGACTTAAAACACACGTGTTAGTATTTACTGGGACTGGTGGGGACCAGGACAACAACGTTCTGTTCTTCCCCGTTCAGAAAACTCGAGCAGTAAATGTAAAACGTTCCAGCAGCAGGTGATGTGCTGATACGAAGCAACCCGAGTGCTGCAGCGATTTATTTGTCAGCAGCTGAGTGACAGCCTCGCCCACCAATTTGCCTCAAACTGTCATGCAATTCTGTTCCTCGGTGAATAAATATATATATTTATTTGTGTTCTTATTTGTGCCTAAATAGCTTTTTGAAAAGTGCAGGATGGCAGCCGGCTCTAAAAGTGTCTCCTTCAACGCTGGCTGTGAGGTCGGGAAGAGGAAATCATTAATATCCCATTAGAAGTTGGCTGTGGAGCCAGATGTGCTGCGGGCGAACATCAGCAGGCCTGTTCTCGGCCTCCACACCTTCCCCGAGGTTCAAATGTCGTTCTTCACTGTCATTACTTCTCTCCCCCATTAACTATTGATTATCTCCTCTTCAGCATTTTGAGCCCCGCTGTGGAAATGGCCCACATGCCTCGGCTCCTGCACTCTGCAGAGCAGAAGTGCCCACTCCTGGTTTTTTACCCGGAAAATTGGAGCCAAGTCAGCACTAACGAAGAGGTGGGGGTGACGAGGAACATGGCTGCAGCGTCCCTGCACATTAGCAGCACGCTTCGGTGGACAACTGCAGGTTAAGTTGTGTGTTTGCTTTGTATTTTTTTGCTGTTGTTCAGGAGTCTGTGAGAGTTTCAGCACGAGTGGAATAATTACTCTGGGTTTATGATGGTGTCTGCACAAAGTCCAGCTGGGAAAGATTGTGCAACTAAAACATCTGTTGGAAAAGTCACGGACAGGCCGTTGACCTGCCTGAGTCCGTGAACAGAACTGGTGGTATTAGTATATTAATATACTATGATACTAATACTGGTATTAGTATAATATTATACTAATACTGGGATTAGTACACTAATATAGAAATACTGGTATTAGTATACTATTGTTTAACAGGCAACAATGGTGTACCACAAGGCTCAGTCTTAGGACCCACCCTCTTTACAATCTACATACATAATGTAGGTAAAAACATCCCTAATGCATCCTTACATTTCTATGCTGATGATACAGTTGTTTATTGTCGAGCTAAAACTGTTGCTAAGGCTTTCCAGCTTTTGAAATCTGCATTCAACATCATCCAGACAGATTTGTTTCACCTCAAACTTGTCCTAAATGCCGAAAAAACCAAAGGGATGCTTTTTTCAAATAGGAAGTTGGTCCCAGCAGTTCTTCCTCCGATTTTATCCTCAAATGGTGTCCCCATTGAGTTTGTTGATTCCTGTAAATATTTGGGTATCTTGGTCGACTCACATCTTTCTTTTAAGCTCCATGTGGAAAACTTGGTAAAGTAACTGGAAGTTAAACTGGGTTTCTTTTTCAGAAACAGATCCTGTCTAACCCTGAATGTTAGGAAACACCTTGTATCTGTGACTTTCCTTCCCTCCATTGATTACGGTGACATTATTTACATGAACGCTCCTACAAGAACCCTGCAGATGTTGGATGCTGCAGATGTTGGATGCTGTCTATCATGGTGCACTAAGATTCATAACTGGCTGTGATTATCGTACCCACCACTGCACCCAGTATTCACTGGTTAACTGGTCACCATTAACTTCACACAGACTCTCCCACTGGTACATTTTCATCTTTAAATCACTTCCTGGTCTGCTGCCTTCATACATCTCCTCCTACATGTCTCTACGTGAGTGCAGCTACAGCGTGCGCTCTCAGGACATCATTACCTGCAGTGTTCCCTCAGTGAGGACTGAACTAGGCAAAAGGGCCTTCTCCTACTCCGCTCCTGTTTCCTGGAATATCTTACAAAAAGACCTGAAGCTCTCGACCTTTGACCTCTCTAAGTGTCTTTAAGACTCTGTTGGACTCCTGGCAGGGACCAATGCAGACATGTTCCTGTTTTTAGTTTTCTACATTTGTCTTAGAATCTAGATGGTTTTATTTAGTTCTTTTATATACCATATTCTTTCATTTATTCTTCTCAATTTATTTGCCTCTTTTATGGTTGTCCACTGTTGTCATCCTTCTTTGTTGAAATCAGGTCTCTCTTGTAAATGAGTCCCCGAGACATGGGATTAACCTGTAGAAATAAAGGTTGAATGAAAAATACTGGGATTAGTACACTAATATACTAATACTGGGATTAGTACACTAATATACTAATACTAGATTAGTACACTAATATAATAATACTGGGATTAGTACACTAATATACTAATACTGGATTAGTACACTAATATACTAATACTGGGATTAGTACACTAATATACTAATTCTGGGATTAGCACACTAATATATTAATACTGGGATTAGTGTACTATTATACTAATACTAGGATTAGTATACTATTGTACTAATACTGGGATTAATACACTAATATACTAATACTGGGATTAGTATACTAATATATTAATACTGGGATTAGTGTACTATTACACTAATACTGGGATAAGTACACTAATATAATAATACTGGGATTAGTACACTAATATACTAATTCTGGGATTAGTACACTAATATACTAATTCTGGGATTAGTACACTAATATAAATAATACTGGGATTAGTGTACTAATATAATAATACTGGGATTAGTACACTAATATACTAATTCTGGGATTAGTGCACTAATATACTAATTCTGGGATTAGTGTTGGGTTCTGGTTTTGTTTTCGTCTTTTGGACTTGTCAGAGTTTTCAGTCTGAACTTGAGTTCAAGTTTGACGTTTGATTAAACAGACGTTTCTTTTAGTTCATTCTGTCCTGATTGTACTTTAACTCTTGGTTAGTTAATTTATTTATTCATTTTACAAACAGACACTTGTTCCTGCGTGCCTCTGAGCAGAAGCCTGACCCTACAGAGTCCATAAAACCAGGACCAGATCCTGCAGGTCCATGTTGGGTCAGAACATCAGAAAATCGGTGAAATATAAAAATAAAAACACAACCTGCGTTTATAAAACTGTGCTTTTATTTCAGTCTGTTAGTTTTTTACAAATATGACAGATTTGCATCGGGGGCGGGGGGGCAGGATGAATAAAACATTCCTTAAACCTCGGATCAGTTCTCATTTCAGATGCTGACACTTGGGCTTTATGCTGGAGAATAACAAGCTGCTGCACAGAACCAGTAAACGGGTCGGTCCAGACCGGGTCGAGCAGAATCCTACTAGAATCTGTTCTGGCTTCGAGATAATCCCACAGCACAGATCAGCCGAGCCTGCTCGCACGGACCAGAGGCTACGGTGAGAGAAAAGGGACACATGACAGAGGGGATCGGGTACTGACAAGAATACCTAAAGGGATATTCCAGCTTTTGTTTTTTTCCAGTGGGGCTCCGAGAAAAAGTTATAAACAGTATCTTACATGTTGTAGATATGACCTGAGCTCATGTTTTCATTGAGATTCAGTTTTTTTTTTTAAATCAGTCCAGAAACGGGAAACAATCCTAAAGACAGGAACTTGTTTTTGTGTTTGACGTGGTCGCTGCTCGTTGGACCGGGGCCGAATATCAAGAAAAATTTCATATTTATCAACAAAGTCGAAGTGTTTGTTGCAGTGCTTAATATGTAAACCAAAAAAATGCTGGAGCACAAATACCTGGGCCGGGGGGGGGGGGGGGGGGGTACTCCCCAGAAAATTTTGAATAAAGTAGATGCCACTTCCTGCATTCTGGTGTATTTTAACGGTTATTAAACATCTACGTTTATCTATACAAGTAAACAATTGATTCAATAACTATTTTAGAGAGCAACAAGAAGTAGCCTGACCAACAGCTCTCCTTGTGTGACTAGAGCACACTCCACTTCTCTCAAGCATCCTAACCTCCCCCCCAGCTATTTGCAGCTGTCCAGATTATTGGGCATCCCTCACATGACGGTTCCAAGCCCAACTCTTCTCCGCTGAATTCACGGTCCTCCTCCTCGTTGACCTCCTCCTCATGTGGGGAGGCTCCTCCTCAGGCTGTTCATGGCCGCTGCCTGTGGGTTCTTGCCCGGGTACGACAGCCTGGTTAGCTCAGCTCTCACCCATCTGCTCCAGTATCTCCATGGCTGCTGCCATCATGTGTTTCAATTCTCCGTTGTTTAGTTGTACAACGAGAATCCTTTTTTAAAAATGAAAGTAAATTGAACGGTCTTTTTGACATTTTGATCGCTGTTATTTTGACAAATTGGCGCCGTTGTTTTGATATATGATGTACGTAATGTGAGTGCCCATCAAACATTTCTCTTGTATTTTCAATAAATAATCGACATTTTATTAATGACCCACTGAAACTGTAAAACTGATTAGCAATTTAATTGTGCTGTTTAATTACATTTTTGTGTTTTTCATTAAATTGTTAGTTTTTTTAAGTGTAGAAGCAGAAATGCTTACTTGGAGGCTCAGCTCTGATGTGATATTAGGATGCTCTTAAGTGGCTGTTGTGTTTAAAATGAGTGTTTATATCATTATTTTCAGATCGCATATCCAATATAGGTTTTATTTGTTCAAGGCAGTCAAGTTTGTTCATAACTTTATTATTAAGCCTGAGAGTTACTGGATCCAAGCAAACAATGCACCCTGTCAAAATAAGAGAGTTCCCGGATCCTGTTCCGGAAGGATCCGGCTCAGATTAAGTCCTGGTTTGCTGTTTCAAACGTCCACATCTGTCTACGTATTAACAGCTCCTAACGTTCCCACAGAACCCCACTTTAAAATGGCCATACTTTCTCTGTGACACATCTACGTCTGTCGAATGAAACCGTCTCACTTCCTGCCGCCAACAAAACACAACTTCTTACACGTTTAGCTTCAAGTCTAATAAAAACCAGTTCCACAAATAGAAAACTACAGTATATTTACAGGACGTTCTTTTAAAGCTCTGAAACACGATTCACTCGTGTTTTCCCTGAATCTGAACCTGAGTTTCCACATTAATTGCTACGCGTCGTCCAGCTGATCAAATTAAACGAACATATCTGCTGCCTCTCCTGATTACAGAAGACGTGATTTTACCGTTCCTTCATTCTCGGTGAGATGTTCCAGTGTAGGAAAGTAGAAAATGAAGTGAGCTGACTTCAGGTAAACTATCGGCCTTCTCTTCTCATCAGTACGGAGAAAACTTCTGCCGCTCTGACCTCTTAACGCCAGACGACGGCATCTTCCCGGTGAACGGAGACAAACCCTGGGTCAGGCCGGAAGCGGCTGCCGGGTGGACGGTCAGGACGGGGAGCGTTTTCATGCCGAGCAGGCTGGAGAGGGGGATGGCGTAATGCGGGTTTTGGATGGTCGGTAAAGTGGAGGGCGAGTGGACGTTAATGGTGGCGGGAGCTGCGGCGCCGGCTGCCAGGACGGCGGTGGAGGTGGTGGGGGCGCTCTGAGAGAAGCTCATGTTCAGGTCGATGGGGGTGGCAGAGGAAGCCACCTGCATGGTGTATTTAGCCATCTCTAAGCTGCAGGATGGGTTAACCGGGGGGGGGGGGGGGGGGGGGCAACAGAGGGGGGAGAAAACAGGAACATGAAGGAATGTGTTAAAAACGCAGAAACGAGGACTTTAACGAAGTGAAAACAACGAAGCAGCGAGCCGGAACAAGTCCTGCCTCACCCTGGACCCACCAGCTCTGCAGGACATGGCCGCCCTCCATGTCTTACCTGGCGTTGATGAGGTACTGGGCCACGCTGATACTGGCCGGCGGGCCCGTGATCGTGACTTGGCGCATGGCCGAGCCATCGGCGGCGCTGGCAATTTTGATGTGAGCTCCAGAGATCTGGCGAATCTCGTTGATCCGGCTGCCTTGTCTTCCAATTATGCAGCCGATAAACTGGAAGAGGGCGAGGTTGGAAGCATGTAAACAACAACATGTAAACAACAACAGAGGACAGACAGGGCAGGAACAACCGCTGCTGCAACACTTATACTAGATTTTAAGATCTGGCACAAATACATAATACAAGTAATTACAGAGTACACACATGCACAGTACCAGATAACAAGTCACATCATAACAGAGCCCAGTCCTCATAAATACCAGGTATGAGCCTCAAAAGTATCTAATAAGTACTAGGTACGTTCCCAGTATGTATCAAATATGTACCTGGTAATTAATTACGAGGTACGTTCCCAATAAGTACCAGGTATGTACCTGGTAATTAATTATGAGGTACAAACCCAGTAAGTACCAAATATGTACATGGTAAGTACTAGGTATAGACCCAGTATGTACCAGATATGTACCTGGTAAGTACTAGGTACAGACCCTGTAAGTACCAGGTATGTACCTGGTAAGTACTAGGTATATACCTAGTAAGTATCAAGTATGTAGCCAGTAAGTACCAAGTATGTACTTGTTAAGTACTAGGTATGTGCCTGTTTCATATCTACCAGATACCTGCCCAGAAAATACCTTGTAAGTACCTGCTAGGTATCCAGCAGATACCTCACAAGTACTAGGTATATATTCCATAAGAATCTTTTAACTAGCTTGTGTGTACCTGGTAAAATCCTGTCTGTATTATGTACTAAAACTCAAATACTATTACTGTAAAATCATAACATGTTTTTGTGTTTTGTGTTTATTAAACATAATTTATTCCCACTCTGGTGATAAAACAGTAAGAGAACCGTTTTCTCTGAGCAAACCATAACCGTTTATTTTACCGTTTTCTTTCTGTAAATTAAGTTGATTAATTTCACTTCTTGTCCTCGATGGAAAGATGGCCGACTTTAAACAGCGCCTGTGTCTGATTACGACCGGCGCTCCTGAAGCTCAATAATCAACGTGTCAGATCTGGATTGTTCGTGGTGATGACTGACAATTTACCGTTTTAGCAAAGGTTACGTGCTCGACTCGCTGGTTGCCTGGCAACAGAAGACAACGGTCGACACCCTGAAAAGAGTCAGAGATGCAGCCAACCCTCCGATAAATATTCTTAGTTGTTGTTTGACTGAACCGAGCTAAAACAGAACTTTTAGAGGCCAAACCATCTTCTTGGCTTTGTTTCGTGTCTAAAGCTGCTGATTATGGATTTTAAACTCGCTTCAGTCTCAATCATTCATGTCAGCTGAAAAGTAGACAATTAGATAAATGCATCCTTTAAATTAACAAACATGTATTTAAATTTTAAAACACTAAGGTAGCATTTCCACCTTTTGCACTTATGTTCTCTAAAACACTCAAACTGTGTTGGATGAGCTTAAAAAATGAGAGTTAAATTTCAGAATTTTAAATATTTCTACTTCAAGTTTATACATTCGTGTTGTTATTTAAAGAGCATGAAACGTGAGTCAGCCTCCCACCATCACAGACATCTACACCTCCAGATGCAGGAAGAGAGCCACCTGCATCATGAAGGACCACACTCACCCAGCACACAGGTTGAGGAGCATTAAGTGTAGAACCACTAGACTGAGGAACAGCTTCTACCCTGAAGCTGTTAGACTCATGAATCTCTAACCAGGAGAATCACTGTGAAAAAAATCACATCATGTTGCTGCTGATCTGTTTCATGTTGCTGCTGATGTTTCATGGTGCTGCTGATCTGTTTCATGCTGCTGCTGATCTGTTTCATGTCACTGCTGATCTGTTTCATGTTGCTGCTGATCTGTTTCATGTTGCTGCTGATCTGTTTCATGTTGCTGCTGATCTGTTCCATGTTGATGTGTTCATGCGTGCACATCTGCTCACAGACTCATGTTCATGTTTGTGCTGATGTTCAATGTTTTATGTTATGAGTGCTTAGTGTATATTTAGTTGATGTTTTTCTTAGTTCATATCTTAGATCTTATCACTGTTTTTCTTTTACATTTTATTGTTGGATGTAACTGGGACCCTGTAAACATAATTTTGTTCCACCACATGTACCACATGAGGTGCGAATGACAATAAAGAATCTCTGACTCTCTGACTGACATTTTTACACGAGATCATATCTCTCCAGTGGCTCCCTGTCAAATTCAAAATCGTCTAACCTACAAAGCTCACAACAACCTAGCTCCATCTTATATTACAGATCTTATTGTTCCATATTTTCCTAACAGAGCAGACTGCAGGTTTACTTGTGGTTCCTAGAGTTTCCAAAAGCAGACTGGGAGGAAGATCTTCCAGTTTTCAGGCTCCTCTCTTGTGGAACCAACTTCCAGTTTCTGTCCGTGAGGCTGACACATTGTCCAGTTTTGAAGACTGGGATTAAGACTTTCCTTTTTGATAAATCCTATAGTTAGGGTCGGCTTGGGGTTCCTGAGCTGTCCCTTAGTTCTGCTGCACTGCTGGAGGACAAATTGACCACATGTCCTCTCTCTGCTTCTGTCTTTACTGGCTCTTCTCTCCATGTTTGTATTTGTAATTATTTCTATTTAAACATTTTTTTTGTCTTTCCTCCTATAGAAACTACACCTGGACTATAGAAACTACACCTGGACTATAGAAACTACACCTGGACTATAGAAACTACACCTGGACTATGGAAACTACACCTGGACTATGGAAACTACACCTGGACCATAGAAACTACACCTGGACTATAGAAACTACACCTGGACTATAGAAACTACACCTGGACTATAGAAACTACACCTGGACTATAGAAACTACACCTGGACTATGGAAACTACACCTGGACTATGGAAACTACACCTGGACCATAGAAACTACACCTGGACTATAGAAACTACACCTGAACCTGTCATTCTGTGTCCATTGTTACTTCCTGTCCTCTCAAACCAGCCAGTTGAAGCAGATGTTCACTCATCCTGATCCTGGTTCTGTTGGAGGGTTCTTCCTGTTAAAGGGAGTTTTTCTTCCCACTGTCTCCTCTGTTCTTGCTCAGGATGAGAGACTGTGACGAAGTGAAGATTCAACACAACCTGCTGCTTCCTCAGAAACAAAACTTTTACTAATAGTCTTTTTTATATATGAATGTTCCTGTTCAGAGCCCTGAGACGACTTCTGTTGGGAGCTACAGAAATAAACTGAACTGATCCACAGTGGCATTAAAATATAAACATAATAACATTTAGGCACGTAAAAGGATCAAAGGATCACTGCAGTCTTTAAAAACTATTCTCTCAACAAACACAACAGGAGTTTGTAGTTCCTTTCAGCCCCAGTCAAAGTGGAGGGACTGTCAGGGTCTACAGAAAACTGAATCTGTGCATCATATAATTGATTATAACATATTGATTGGTATATATAATATAATGATTGGTGTCTATATAATATAATGATTGGTCTATATAATATAATGATTGGTAAATATAATATAATGATTGGTCTATATAATATAATGATTGGTAATATAATGATTGGTAAATATAATATAATGATTGGTAAATATAATATAATGATTGGTAAATATAATATAATGATTGGTCTATATA